TTATTCATCAAGTACCTATGACTTGCTGGGAAAAACCATCTTTCAATCAATACCAGCAACCGACCCCAGTTCATACCTCTATTAATGATGAGTATGAAGAAGAAGAATTAACGCTTCAACGAAATTATGTCATTTTAGGAGACCAAGATACTCAGCCAATTCTCGCTGAACAAGGAGATAATCAAACAATAGTTGAGGGACAAAAATATTCACCTCAGTACTACGAAAATTTAAAGCGAAAACTTAACATAAAGTCTTCTCCATCTGAAAAATGGAAATATCATTGGCAAGGACCAGGCAATAGATGTTGGTGTCATAATAAGCTAAACCAACCGAATGACATTTGTGAGTTATGCAAGAAAGAGTATGAACATTTACAACTACTTTCTAATGTACCGAATGAGAAAACAACAACACCAACTGTGACCAATTTGACTATTCCACAACAATAGCAAATAACAACACTATTAAAGCAAAATGATAATTTATTTGCTGATGATCTCTCCCAACTTGGACATACGAAGGTTGAAAATCATCATATACCGATTGAAGTATCAATTCCTGTTAGACAAAGAGCTTATCGTGTAGCTCTACCTGAACAAGACTTTATTAAAGAAGAAATAAATAAAATGTTGAAAAATGATTTAATTCAACCATCTGAAAGTCCCTGTGCATCACCTGTTGTACTGGTGCGAAAGAAAAATGGAAAATTAAGGTTCTGTGTTGATTATTGCAAACTAAATAGCTTAATCCAAAGAGACTATCATCCACTCCCACGAATAGACGAGTTATTAGATATGTTTGGACGTGCTAAATATTTTACAATACTTGATTTAGCAAGTGGTTATTGGCAAGTTGCTATGGCCCCGGAAGATCAGTCAAAAACTGCTTTTATTACCAGCTATGGATTGTATGAATTCAAAGTTATGCCCTTTGGATTAACCAATGCTCCTGCAACCTTCCAACGATTAATGAACAAAGTCTTTCGAGAAGAAATTGAAAAGTTTGTAGCTGTATATCTGGATGATATCATTATCTTTTCTGTTACTTTTGAAGAGCACATCCAACACCTGTGACAAATCTTTCAACAATTGAGGAAAGCTGGATCAAAACTAGGGCGTGATAAATGTGAATTTGGCAAAAAGGAACTTGCATTTTTGGGACATATAGTAAGCGGAAATGGAATTGCGCTAGACCCTTCCAAAATTGAAAAGATTAGGGATTTTCCAATTCCAAAAATCTGATTGAACTGCGTGGATTTTTAGGACTTGCTTCGTATTATCGATGATTTATACAAAACTTCTCAACTATTGCAGCACTATTACATCGGTTACTTTGAAAAGATATTTTCTATGAATGGACAGAATCACAACAATCAGGATTTGAATATTTAAAGAATTGTCTAATTATAGCACCTATCCTCGTATATCCTGATTTTTCTAAAAAGTTCTTAGTATTTACCGATGGATCTTACATGGGCTTGGGAGCTGTACTAGCTCAATTGGATGATCAGAATAAGGAACACGTAATTGCCTATGCAAGTAGGAGTCTGAATAGTGCAAAACGAAATTATATATCCACAGAATTAGAATGTCTAGCCACTGTCTGGGCAATGGAACATTTTAGAACTTATCTTCTGCATCAACCATTTGATTTTATTACTGACCATGCTGCATTGCAATGGTTATTTAACAAACCTGATCCCCCTCGAAAATTCATACGCTGGATAATTAGAATAATGGAATTCCCTTATAACATTAAATACCGAAAAGGAAAAGTACATCAAAACGCTGACACCCTCTCGAGGTTACCTTCAACTTAAAAAGACTATATATTAAACTAGAGTGAAAGCTAAAGCATTGGCAGCGTGACCAACGGCTCTAAAAATAAAATGAATATTGACTTATATAACCACCTTTATTCCTATCTTACCCAATCGACATATCCTCCATTATCAACACCTGCTGAACAGCTATCAATACAAAAGCAAGCAAAATATTACCTCGTACACAACCAATTTTTATATAGATATAACAAAAGACAACCAGAT